CATTCATATGGGGCCAGCAGGTGGTGTGGTGGTTGATGTGCTGGACTCCCACGTGGCTGACTACAGTTCAAGTCCCAGACCTGGTGGCTTGCTTCCTTCTCTCTCTCTCCCTGGTGAGCACAGATGCCCTATAGCAAATTTAAATAAATAAACAAATAAATAGATCAATAAATAAAATTAAAATAGATAATTCTTTAAAAAATCATTCATACAGAATGTAGTCTATTGACTTAGGGAAATGTTTCTTGTATGTTTAATGAGAACAGCAGGTGATTTTAGGGCTCAGGTGATGATCTAACTAGAGGGTGCCTTTATCCTGGATGCCGGCCCTAGACCACAGTCGCCCCGTCCTGGTGAGGGTCTTAGGGAAAAGATCATCAAGAACCAAGGGCAGAGACCAGCAGTTGGCATAATGGCTATGTAGCTGGACTCCCACGTAGTTGACTGCGGTTCGAGTCCTGGACCCGGTGGCTTAAACTCATGCCGGGCATGTTTGTGTGCATGCCCAAGATCCCGAGAGGAGAGTGGAGGAGAAGGGATTGTGGTGTGGCCATCCACTGGCAAAGGAAGACACTTTAATGTGGATGGACTTGGACCCCCAACCCCAAAGCAGACTCTTGAGTCACGCAATAAGCTCAAATGAACCATGGGAACCACATTTTTTCCCTAAGCTAGTGATAGTTTGGCTTTTCAAACTTCGGCTGGAAGGTCCAGCGCACACACTCATCATCTTGAAGAAGGACGAGCCCAGAAAGAGACGAGAGGACTAGGGCATCCGATCACCCCCGGCGCCTGCCGCAGGGCACACTGCCGCCTGACACAAGTTCCCGGCTCACTCGCACAGAGAACCTGGCTAGGCCTCAGTGCCTCGCCCCGAGCGAGCCGGTCTCCACTGCCTGCCTGCGAGTCCTGCCGGGGACATAGCTAGAGGGGCACGCTGTCAGTGTAGGCTGTGTGGGAGGGGCGTGTAAAAGATCGAAGGTCACACACCAGACCGTGAGCAACGGCCCGCCGACGCGGTGGGATTCCAGTTTTCATCTTGTTACTCACCAGGACTCCATCATTTCTCTGCACAGAGCAGAAATCTGTAATTGTTTCAAAAGTGATTTAAAGTGGAATGGGAAATTACCCCATTACAATAACCACAAGATATAAAATACCCAAACTCTGTTTATTGTGTGTGTTTTTTTTTTTCTGGAAAACTTAAGTATACCTTAGAAATTTTAAAGGTAGGTATGAGGCTGGAAATAGAAGCTACAGTTTTTAAAAACTGGTAAGAAAAATGATCGGTGGCTAAATAAAACTGTGATTTTTCAAGAATGAAGAAAGTGGCATGAATAAAATCAAGTACTGACGGGCTAGATGGTGCCATGGTGGTTAAGGCGCTGGATCCCACGTGGTCGACCGCGAGGTTTGAGTCCCAGACACGGTGGCTTTGAAACTGTGCCAGGCGCACGTGCACACGTGCCTAAACTCCCGAGAGGACGGCGAAGACGGGATTGTGGCGTAGCCATCCATGGCGCTTTTTCGCTTTTTCTTTTCCTCACTCTCACTCTCTCCAGTGAGCACACACACCCTATAGCAAGTTAAAAATAAACATAAAATTAAAATTAAGCCAATGATAAACTGTAACATTTATAAACCGACAGACTAAAATTAACCTTGAATATTCATAGAGTTCATATATTCATGAGAAAAATCAGGACAACCGATATGAATAGACAGATAAAAAGAAACATGCAGACAGCACATTAATATTCGAGAAAATATTTAAGCTAATTAGTTATAAATGCCAATTAAAAGAAAGTAAATGCTACTTTTTATCTTGATCAAGCTGACAAAGCTTACAAAGGATATCTGTCTTTCCCAAGGGGCCCTAAGTTCTGTGAGAGCAAAACTGCCCATTTTGTTTCTTTCTGCGTCCTCGGCACCTGGCGTAGTGCCTGACCCGGGTGAGCCCTCAGTAGACCCATGTTAAATGAGCTAGATGAAAGGACGATGGCAGCATGCAGTGTGGACAGTACCGAGTGGAACACTTGTTCCTGGAGAACAGAATGAAGAATGCGTCAAAGGCAAGCGCAGTCCCCCGGCTTCTGTTACATCAAGGTTTAGCCACTTGGCAACGTTTTCAGCCACAAAGCAAAAATACGCTTGAAATGAAAGTTTATGCAGGAAAATCCTCAAGGTGTGACATGTACACTTCCATGTAGTTCGACTACAGTTGGCAGAGTGTCAAACGTCTGGATGGACATTTGGAAGGAGGAACGGGCCCACCACGGGAGTGAGCATCTCCAAAGCTGCCCGCTCTGAGAGGGGCCACCCCGTGCTGCTCTTTGTGAACTGTGCTCCAGCACCTCACGCCTGCCCTGAGCACGCCCCCACCATGCCTTCCTAGTTAGACTTGGAGTTTGACGGTGCTGGGGCTGAGGAAGTCTGCTTGCTGCCCGGAATGTTTATGGCCCAGTGGAAAGTGTGCGTGCCATCCTCAGAGCCACCGTGTCACCGGGTGATCATGAAGGGTGTCTTAGGTACTCAGCTTGAAGCGTAATGGCTTGTTGCATTTTCATGTGCAGGTATTGTATTGTGTTTTAGATAACTTGGGGGTCTTGGGTTGATGAAAAGCACATTGCAATTTTTTTCCCACTTAAAATGATGGGCGGAGGGGTTAGCGTCTGTACAGAATATCTGATTTCCAGGAATAGGTTACTGACATTTAGCAGGGAAAGCCTGAACTTTCAAAAGGTCAGGTCCATTCATCATTCCTACTTTAAAGAAAAAGGGGAAAAATTACATTAGACGCATGTGTGGAGGGATCTCACCACAGTTTTATATTAAATTGCAAGGCTTTGGAAACCTAAGTGGTTGACACTAGAGTATCTATGAAATTATTCTTTGAGAATCGGAGGGGACAGACTGACGGAGGAGGTGCTCAGGAAAGCTCCTCTCTCCTCCCGCCAGCCCTGGCGACTGGCGCTGGCTTCCTCTTAGGTTCCTCCCTCGTTTATTATTAATTTCAATGAAGATGACAGAAAATAACCAAAATGGTACTTGGCTAAAATGGCCCTGTGTATAGTTAAATATTGGGTCATCAGAAAAGTCATGTCTCATTTTTGCACAGAAAATCCACTGGAATCCATTTCGCCTAGAAAAGTAGTCATGACTTTCCTGAAGACCCAGTAGTATTAGCTCTTGTGTGGATGAATGAGGAAGAAGAAACTGAAGAATTAAACATGAATGGCTATGTGTCCCGAGAATGATACTCTTACGCTGACTTGTCTGCTCTTATTTTTTCAGCTTATCCACTCACCAAATGCCCTCCTCCCACCATCCTCCCCAACGCTGAAGTCGTTACAGAGAATGAAGAATTCAACCTAGGTACCACCTCCCAAACCAGCAAGGCCTAGGCACCAAGGGTCAGCAGTGAGGGCCGAGCAGCCCTGGGGACTGGCCACCTAGCAGGGCTCATCCTTCTCCCATCCATGGAGAGCAGCCATGGCCGATACAAGAAAGCTGATGTTCTGTCAACTGAGTTTGCACCCAAAGTCCAGTCGCACTCCTTTCTAGCCATATGTAGGAAGAAAAGCCAGGAAAGCAACTTCCTCCTGTGACTCAAGGCAGGATAATTTTGAGAAGTAAACCCTTGCAAGGTAGTATAACATCTCCTAGAATATGAACTTTTCTTAGGCTCAGGCAAGGCTGAGCGATGAGAGGGAAGCCCCAGTACGCGGCTGTAAGCTTTCTGGGCCATTTAATCAGAGCTGAGCTAGTTATCTAAGTCCAAACGGAACACGGCCCACTGGCTGTCTTACCTGGAGGTGGGCTCAAGGGGTGCGGTCAGCCCTGCTGAGACTGAGAGGGATCCCCATGTTGGTCTCCTCGACAGGTGACATCGTACGCTACAGGTGCCTCCCCGGCTTCACCCTGGTGGGGAGTGAGATCCTGACCTGCAAACTTGGAACCCACCTGCAGTTTGAAGGCCCACCCCCAATATGTGAAGGTAAGCACCTGAGCCGTCTGCTTGACCTCGCTTCCTGTTCCTGCTTCTCAGCTCAGTCCCCAGCCGTGAAGTGAGAGGCCACAGGTCACGTGGTGAATGTTGGTGGAAGAATGAGTGCTCTCGGCTGTGTGCCGAGGTCTGGGTCTGTGAATCAGCCACAGGGGCCACGTTCATGTCCGTCTTCCTTTTCCCTACCTGGGCATTCCCTGGAATTGCATACTGAGCACGGGAACCTCAGGGAAGCACCGGCCTAACTGCCAGCCCTGCCCTACTCACAAAAGCAAGTCACGATAAACAGAAAACACAAAGTAAGGTGGGAAAACGAAGCACACGTGTGCAGCCACAGTCTGTGTAACCAGACCCGACCACTGGCTGAAGGACAGAAACTCAGATGGGTTTACGAAGGCACCTAAACCTGTTTGAGGTTTTCCGTGAACGGAGACTTGAGCAGCTCCGCCTGCCTCCCTAGGTCACCGCTAGGAAGATGTCGCTTGTCATTGGCACGGGGCAAACATTTCAGAAGACGCAGCAAATACCGACTTCTAAAAGCTGGGGTTAATATCAGATGAGATGAAATGTAAGTTAGAAAACACTAAAAGGAGCAAAGGGTTATTTCATATCAGAACGGATAATTTATCAAGGCTATATCATACTCATAAGCATCTATGTTCCTAACAACATAATGTCAAAATAAGTAATGAAAAACTGACAGAACTACAGGGAGAGAGGGACAAATTCACAATTTGGAGAGAGATTTTAATATACTTCTTTCCAGGACCAGCAGTTGGCATAATGGCTATGTCACTGGATTCCCTCGTAGTCGAATGTGGTTCGAGTCCTGGACCCAGTGGCTTAAACTCACGCACGTGTGTGTGCGTGCCCAAGATCCCAAGAGGAGAATGGAGGAGAAGGGATTGCAGCGTGGCCTTCCCCCCAGGGGGTGATTTCTCGCTTTCTGTCTCTGTCTCTCTCTGTCTTTCTGGTGAGCACACATGCCCTATAGCAAAAACCTCTCAAAAAAAAAATATATATACACATATATACATATATACTTCTTTCCATGGCAGACCAAAAATAAGTAGCTAATAGAATATGGGGGGAGACGAGGTTGTTGTTTTTGCTAGAGGGCACATATACTAGCCAGAGAGAGACAGAGACAGAGAGGAGAAAGTATCCCCAGTGGGGAATGTTCACATCACAATCCCTTCTCCTCCATCTCTTCCTCCTCTCAGGATTTTGGGCACTCATGTGCGTGCGTGCGCACACACACACACACACACGTGCACATACATGCCGAATGCTTTTCTCAAGCTACCAGGTCCAGGACCCGAACCACACAGCCGGCCATGTGGGATCCAGCTGCCTTAACTGCCAGGCCATGGAACCAGCACAACAGAATAAATATTCTACAATAACATGTTTATATCAATAAGGGCATACTTCATAAAAAGTATGCCAGAATTTGAAGGCTTTAAACAAGAACCAACTATTTTCTACAAGAGATCAACTTTAAATATAAATACCATGTATACTGCAAGTCAAAGAGAAAAAAATCATACTTTGAAGATGGCTATCATATGAAACATAAACAAATTTCTGGTAATACCAAAAACAACGAGTATTACCAGAAGTACAGATATTTCATAGTGACAGAGGGCGAATTCCATTAAAAAGATACACTGTACACACAGATAATAAAAGAGCTTCAAAATGCATGAAAGAAAAACTGACACAAGTAAATGTGAGAAAAATGAAAGCAAACTACAAAATACGATATTCACCACACACACACACACACACACACACACACACAGTTTTTTGTTTCTGTTTTTGTTTTTCTATAGGGTGCATGTGCTTGCCAGGGAGAGAGAGAGATGACCCATTACCCTACAGGGGATGGCTACACCAGTCCCTTCTCCACTTCTCCCTCCTCTCGGGATTTTGGGCATGCTAGCACATACACACACGCACGCCCAGCGCCATCTTCCAAGTCGCCGAGTTCGGGACTCAAACCTCATTGTCAGCTGTGTGGGTTCAGCTGCCTTAACCCCCAGGGTACAGGCTTGCCCATATGATATATTCTATTAAAAGACTTACATCCAGAGATCAGCAATTAGTGTAATGGCTATGTCGCTGGACTCCCATGTAGCCGACCACGGTTTGAATCCCGGACCCGGTGGCTTAAAACTCACGCTGGGCACGTGTACATGTGTGCCCAAGATCCTGAAAGGAGAATAGAGGAGAAGGGATTGTGGCGTGGCCATCCCCCTAAGGGGTGATTTCTCGCTTTCTGTCTCTCTGTCTCTGTCTGTCTGGCGAGCGCTCATGCCCTATAGCAAAAACCTCTTAAAAAAAAAGACTTACATCCAGACTAAGTAGAGAAGTTTTATTACTCAATAATAAAATAACCCAATACAAATATGGACAAGAGACTAAGCAAGGTTTTAAAAACACGGTCTGTAAGTGGCCGTCCAGCACGTGAACAGATGCCCAGTGTCACTACTCGGCGGGGAAGTGCAAATTACATCCACAGTGAACTGTTACAGCACGCCCACTAGAATGGCGACTGTAAAAGACTCGGGCCAGGTGGAGCACAGTGGGAACACAGCGATCCACGGAGAAGAGGTCCTGGGCTCACGCCCCGATCTTCCCTGAGCACGCCAGGCACACGTGTCCGTGCCTGGGATCTGAGCCCGCTGAACGCGGGGAACTTTGGAAGGAGTGTGTCTCTCTAACTCTCCTGCTCTCTCTCTGAAGACGTAAATAACCTTTTTACAAGGAAGTAAAAGACTAGCAATACTACGTTAGCAGAGATACGGAACAATTGGAATAAATTGATGGTTGGATGTGAAATCGTGCCGTCACTTTGGAAAACCGATGGGCAGTTAAGTTAAACACATACCTCTCCTGCCACCTAGCAAGTCTACTCCCAGTTATTTACCCAAGAGAAATGAAAGCTAGATCCACAAAAAGATCTTTACATGAATTCCATAATGAAGCACAACGGGAAACAGCCCTGCTGCTGGTCGGTAGATAAGGAATAAAAAAAAGTCCTGTGATCGTGGCAGGAATACCACCAGGAAACTAAACGGGGGGCGGTACCCCAAACAGCACAGGCTAAATCTTGGAAATACTATGTTTAGTGAAAGAAGCCAAACACAAAGACAACACGTGTCCGATACCAGTCGTGTGAGGTTCTGGCCTACACGGGACTAATCTCTGGTTGTAGAAATAGTGATTTCCAGCAGCATGGAGCAGGTCCTGCTGCTTGCAAAGGGGTGTGAGGGCACCTCTTTTTTGTCAGCTGTGTGGGTTCCAGCTGCCTTAACCCCCAGGGTACAGGCTTGCCCATATGATATATTCTTTTAAAAGACTAATATCCAGGGACCAGCAGTTAGTGTAATGGCTTTGTCGCTGGACTCCCATGTAGCCGACCACGGTTCGAATCCCAGACCCGGTGGCTTAAAACTCATGCCAGGCGCGTGTGCATGGGGTACCGCCCCCCATTTAGTTTCCTGGTGTTATTCCTGCCACAATCACAGGACGGTTTGTTTATTCCTTATCTACCGACCAGCGGCTGGGCTGTTTCCCGTGTGATGGGAGGGGTGTGTATTTTTATCGTGGTATTGGATACACAGGCCACCGAACCAAGCACTCAAAATCTGCACATTTTGTTATACATAAGTCTTATCTCAGAAAAGTTGCATTTTTCAAAAAAAATTAATGAGCTTTACAACAGGAAAAAACAGCTTTACTGAAAAGTAAATAAAAAGATATGCTCAAAGCCAAGCAGCAAAATGGTCAAACCATTAGGTAAGATCATCGAGAACAAAGGGAGCAAGCAGGAATATTCAAAAACAAGATATGAAAAACAGAATGAAGCTATCGAAGCAAAAGAAAGTGTTACTTACGAGGCTGTTTTGCACAAATCTACACAAATATATTTGAATAAACAGATTATATGAATGCTTTTCTGGGAAGGTATAATTTACTAAAACTGACCCTAGGAGAGACAAAGTTCATACCTTCCAGGGGCCAGCAGGTGGCTGGTGGTTAAGATGCTGGGCTCCCACGTGGTCAACCGTGGTACGAGTCCCAGACCTGGCAGCTTGGAAGCCAGGACGGGTAGGTGTACGTGCATGCCCAAAATCCAGGAGGAGAGTGGAGGAGAAAGGATTGCCGCGTGGTCCCCTGGGGGTGGCTTATCACTTTCCCTCTCACTGTCTCTCTCTCTCTGCTGAGCACATGAGCTTTGTGGGGGGAAAAAAAAGAAGAAAAGAAAAGAAGGAAAGTTTCCCAATTCTTTAAGAGAAATAGAGAGTGTTATCAGAGGAAACCCCATCAGAGATACCAAGAAGAGAGAACCTCATAGAAAAATATGACTAAACCTTCAAAGGCCAGATAATCTTGAGCATAGCAGGAGGAAAAGGAGAGAAAGTTGTAAATCCCTGAATCTGAGATGTGGCACGCAGGGGAAAACCACTGCCCACTGCCCTCAGCGGACGCAGGTTCAAGGGGAGAGGAGGGGAGAGGCAGGAGGGGACCTGAAGACCTAGGGGAACCTCGCTGTCACCACACTTCAGTGACCCGCCTAGGTCATCGGGTCAGTCAGTCACCACACTTCAGTGACCCGCCTAGGTCATCAGGTCAGTCAGGAGCATCTCAGAAGCTGCCTGGCTTTCGCTCTCTTTTTCCCTTTACCAAATAAGAAAGCTCTAAATAAGCTCAAAAAAAAAAAATAAGGAGAAGAAGAACTTGAGCGTGTC